TGTGTAGCCTGTGAGGGGTGTTGTGTAGCCTGTGAGGGTGTTGTGTAGCCTGTGAGGGGTGTTGTGTAGCCTGTGAGGGGTGTTGTGTAGCCTGAGGGGTGTTGTGTAGCCTGTGAGGGGTGTTGTGTAGCCTGTGAGGGTGTTGTGTAGCCTGTGAGGGGTGTGTGTAACCTGTGAGGGTGTTGTGTAGCCTGTGAGGGGTGTTGTGTAGCCTGTGAGGGGTGTTGTGGAGCCTGTGAGGGGTGTTGTAGCCTGTGAGGGGTGTTGTGTAGCCTGTGAGGGGTGTTGTTGTAGCCTGTGAGGGGTGTTGTGCCTGTGAGGGGGTGTTGTGTAGCCTGTGAGGTGTGGGTACCCTGTGAGGGGTGTGGGTGTACCCTGTGAGGGGTGTGGTGTGGCCCCTGTGAGGGGTGTTGTGTAGCCTGTGAGGGGTGTTGTGTAGCCTGTGAGGGGTGTGGGTGTAGCCTGTGAGGGTGTGTGTACCCTGTGAGGGGGTGTGTGTACCCTGTGAGGGGGTGTTGGTGTAGCCTGTGGTGTCGTGTACCCTGTGAGGGGGTGTGTAGCCTAATGTGTACCTGTGAGGGTTTTACCCTGAGGGGTGTTGTGTAGCCTGTGAGGTGTTGTGTAGCCTGTGAGGGTGTTGTGTAGCCTGTGAGGGGTGTTGTTAGCCTGTGAGGGGTGGTTGTGTAGCCTGTGGGGTGTTGTGTAGCCTGTGAGGGGTGTTGTGTAGCCTGTGAGGGTGTTGTGTACCCTGTGAGGGTGTTTGTAGCCTGTGAGGGTGTTGTGTACCTGAGGTGTGTACCCTGTGAGGGGTGTTGTAGCCTGAGGGGTGTGTGTAGCCTGTGAGGGGTGTTGTGTAGCCTGTGAGGGGTGTTGTGTAGCCTGTGAGGGTGTTGTGGCCTGTGAGGGGTGTGTAGCCTGTGAGGGGTGTTGTGTGGCCTGTGAGGGGTGTTGTGTAGCCTGTGAGGGTGTGTAGCCTGTGAGGGTGTTCTGTAGCCTGTGAGGGGTGTTGTGTAACCTGTGAGGGGTGTTGTGTGCCTGTGAGGGGGTGTTGTGTCCTGTGAGGGGTGTTGTGTAACCTGTGAGGGTGTGTAGTGTGGGTGTTGTGTATTGAGTGTTGTGTAGCCTGTGAGGGGTGTGTGTACCCTGTGAGGGGTGTGTGTAGCCTGTGAGGTGTGTGTACCTGTGAGGGTGTTGTGTAGCCTGTGAGGGTGTTGTGTACTCTGTGAGGTGTTGTGTACCCTGTGAGGGGTGTAGTGTACCCTGTGAGGGGTGTTGTGTGCCCTGGAGGGGGTGTGGTGTAGCCTGTGAGGGTGTGGCGTGTAGCCTGTGAGGGGTGTCGGCCTGTGAGGGTGTGGTGCCTGGGGGTGTGGTGCCTGTGAGGGTGTCGGCCTGGGGGGTGTGTGTGCCTGTGGGGGTGTGTGGGACCTGTGAGGGGTGTCGTGTAGCCTGTGAGGGGTGTGGGTGTAGCCTGTGAGGGGTGTCGTGTAGCCTGTGAGGGGTGTGGGTGCCTGTGGGGTGTGTACCCATTGAGGTGTTGTGTAGCCTGTGAGGGGTGTTGTGTGCCCTGTGAGGGTGTTGTGTAGCCTGTGAGGGTGTTGTGTACCCTGTGAGGGTGTTGTGTACCCTGTGAGGGTGTTGTGTAGCCTGTGAGGTGTGCCTGTGAGGGTGTTGTAGCCTGTGAGGGTGTTGTACCCTGTGAGGGTGTTGTGTACCCTGTGAGGGGTGTTGTGTAGCCTGTGAGGGGTGTTGTGGCCTGTGAGGGTGTGTGGCCTGTGAGGGGTGTTGTGTACCCCTGTGAGGGTGTTGTGTACCCTGTGAGGGGGTGTTGTGTACCCTGTGAGGGGTGTTGTGTGTACCCTGTGAGGGTGTGTTGTAGCCTGTGAGGGTGTCGTGTAGCCTGTGAGGGGTGTGGCGCCTAGCCTGTGGGGTGTCGTGTGCCCTGTGAGGGGTGTTGTGTAGCCTGTGAGGGGTGTGGGTGTGGCCTGTGGGGTGTGGGTGTGTGAGGGGTGTGGGTGTGCCTGTGAGGGTGTCGTGTAGCCTGTGGGGTGTGGGTGGCCTGGGGGTGTGTGGCCTGTGAGGGGTGTGGGTGTGCCTGTGGGGTGTGTGTGGCCTGTGGTGTTGTGTGCCCTGTGAGGGGGTTGTGTAGCCTGTGAGGGGTGTTGTGTAGCCTGTGAGGGTGTTGTGTGCCCTGTGGGGTGTTGTGTATCCTGTGAGGGTGTTGTGGTGTGAGGGGTGTTATGTAGCCTGTGAGGGTGTTGTGTGACCTGTGAGGGTGTTGTGTAGCCTGTGAGGTGTTGTGTACCCTGTGAGGTGTTGTGTAGCCTGTGAGGGTGTGTTGTGGTGTTGTAGCCTGTGAGGGGTGTTGTGTGCCTTGGTGTTGTGTAGCCTGTGAGGGTGTTGTGTAGCCTGTGAGGGTGTTGTGTAGCCTGTGAGGGGTGTTGTGTAGCCTGTGAGGGGGTGTGTGTACCTGTGAGGGGTGTTGTGTACCCTGTGAGGGGTGTTGTGTAGCCTGTGAGGGGTGTTGTGTAGCCTGTGAGGGTGTTGTGTAGCCTGTAGAGGGTGTTGTGTAGCCTGTGAGGTGTCGTGTAGCCTGTGAGGGGTGTGTGTACCCTGTGAGGGTTGTTGTGTACCCTGTG